ACAAATATATTGATTTTTTTTACCAGTATTAATGTTTGTAGTAAGCTTTAGATTAGTTCTATATGGTCCACTTCATTAAGAGTGCTTTCTTGCATGCATAGCTGAGATATCCAGCCTTGAATTTGCTAATATTTCAATGCAGAAACTTGCTAATGTTCCCCCATGTACGTCATCGCGTGACCACGCCCACAACCAGAAGTAATTTTGACAAAATGGCTGCAAGGCAAGAAATTGCAACTTTTGACCCAAGATTTAGTATGGAAACAGTACTTTTTGATAATTTTACTTATTTTTCTTATGATTTTTTCTTTATTACCAACTTATTTCTGCAAAAAAAATTTTTGGGTTGAGTTACCCTTTAAAGAGCCATGTATTCTATTGAATTTCTTTTAGCTCATAAAGCTTTCTCACTTAGCATGCTTTGAGGTAAACCCTGCAGTATATACAGCATGTTATTGTGTTAAATTTCTTTTAATAAATTTATTTTGAAAGTTATGTTCTTCAGACATAATGGTAGAACAGCACAGAATTTGGTCAGATAATTGAGCAATATGCTCAGAACATGTTCGGTTATTTCAGGCTCTGCAAACTGAAAAACAATGATGCATGGCTTACTGCTTGTTTTTGAATTAACACCTCCAGTATCAGTTGTGACCAAGTCTTCTACTAATGAAAAAACGTCTCCAAACTCTCCATTATTGTTAGTTTCTGTGTCCCTTTTCACATCACCATGTGCATCTGGGGTCTCTCTCACTGCACCACTTGTTATTTCATCTATAACATACATCAACAAATATAAAGATTACAACAATGATAGCTTACTGCTTGCTTTTGAATTAACACCTCCAGTATCAGTTGTGACCGAGTCTTCTACTAATGAAACAACGTCTCCACACTCTCCATTATTGTTAGTTTCAGTGTCCCTTTTCACATCACCATGTGTGTCTGGGGTCTCTCTCACTATTTTACCTACATGCCACACACATCCAAGTAAAAAAAGTATAACAAACCATTTCCTGCAGAACTTTCACTTGAATAAGCAGCATTATCAAAACTTAAATCTGTAAAATTAAATACATGTATAAATGAAAGAATAATTATAACAGTGTCACCATTATCATTATCATTATATTCCTTCTCTTCATTCTCTTTATTCACTACTGCAAAAAAGCATAAATGCATTTTTGCAATAATGTACATGTAGTGTACTTGACTGTAGCATTGACACTGTAGAAGCAGATATGTCTTTGCAGTTAATGAAGATACATTTAGCACAAACAGTATTTCTGTAAGCTCGATTTCTGATTGGTACATCAGAGTCTGACTTTGGATCTAAAAAATGTTGGGTGCCAGTGCTGCTACTGCCATATAGCTCTCGTATTGTTTTCCGAACAAATTTATCATTGACTGGTATTCCACT